GTTTTTATTTTTTACAATGAATCTTAATTAAAATTTAAATTAAAATGATAAAGTTAAGAGAGGGTTAGGAATTCTTTTAACAATTGCTTGGGACTGGTTGTCCCGGCACATCAAAACCTACCACACGTAGCGGCTTGCAAGGCAAGGCCTACAAGCCCTAGTGTTCTATCCAGACAGGCGATACGTCTACCAATAATATTATTTTTTTCACTTGAAAATTTATTTTTTATTAAGTTTCATCCAGAACACACGACACATTGTTAAAATATAAAACCAAACTTATCGATTCAAAAAATTCCCAAAATAGTAAAACAATATTAAATAAAATTAGGATTTTATTCTATCTCCCGAACCGATTTGTGTTTTCACACCAGATGAATCTTCAAGAACACTTTAACGAGACCCTTTTCATTTAACAAGACCCGATAATACTAATATCTATCCTTTTCTTGTCATGAAAAAGAGGTCAAATAGAAATCGCCTTTTCATTTATTATTTTTAAATGAATTTCTATTTTTTTCACTTAATCTAGGAAATTAAATGCTGAAAAAATATATTTTGGGATCGAATTAAAATTATAAAAATTACAAATATCATGAAAGAATAAAAAGTGGGTGGACTAAATAAGATTGACCATGATTTTTTTATTTTTTATTTTTTTACGCTTTGGTTCTATTTTGTTGGGTTTTTTTTCTTTCTCAAATAAATTATAACAAATCAGATAATAATTTGATCCTAAAAGTGTGTAGTTGAAAAGAAAAACCTGTAATGCAGTAGTCTTTTAATATCTCCAAAAATGCTTAAATTACTCCTTAATTCCCGCTTATATAATTTGCAAAGTGTTTTATATTCATAGTAAACATTTTTTTTCCACAACAACAAGTTGATCATAATCTATCAAATATAATTCAAATTATTTATTCTAAAATTAAATTAAAATCTAGATTTATTATAACTAGATGAGAAAAATCCCAGCTATTTTTCACCATGTTCTATGCGTTAAAATCATTTTTTTCTATTTAAGTTTCGATCATTCGATTTAGTCATCCAATTAAGCAAGGGAGACAATGCATTCATGAAAATTATAATTTTTAAACCCAGTTTTACATAAATTGTTTTAAAAAATATATATACAGTCAAACTGGGTTAGTCCCATAAGATAGATCAGTCAAACCTCATTGAATCAACTTCGATTTATTTTTCAAAAAACAAATACCATTTTAATAAAAACAAATAACTCATTAATTAATGAGTCGATACGGCAATCTAAATCATATTCAGGTCGATCTCCGACCGTACTTGATAACATGAAAAAAAAAAACCCAATGGGATTTAATAATTAATTTAAAAGTAAAATATGGTGGTCCCACATAAAGGAAGGCGTGTCTGGTGCTAAACCCTCCTGTTACGGAAAGACGAAAAAACTAAGCTGTAGCTGTAGCAAGCGAACGTCCGTCTCCGTCTCTCTTCCTCTCTCGCCTCATCAACAGCAAAGAGCAAACTACCCTTCACTAGACAATCCTTCAGCCACTGATTATATAAATAAAAAAGAAAGTACTCTGAAAAAGCTCCAAACACGAGCACCATTCTTTCCAGAGAGAGAAACACACTTACTACACTCACATTCCCAGCCAACCAGCTACGTTGACGGTACAATGAGGAGAAGCAGTTAAGATCTTGATTCATGACCGTCTAATCTTGTTTAATTTTTTTCATCAAGATGGGGAGTGTGTCTTCTGATGATGACGGTGGTGGTAGCGAGAGGTGCGGGAGCTATAGTTTGAGTGCCGACGTCAGCGAGTCGGAGAGCTGTACTAGTTCGAGTAATTTCTCGTGTCGGCGAGGGCTTGGTCGTGATGGTGGTGGTGCTTCGAGTTCGATGACGTCATCTCCGTGTCCGGTGGCTGGAGGTTTCTGTTTTCCGGCGCCAGTTATGGTTCCTGTTATTGGTGGTAAAGATGTGGTGGTCTGGGGCTCTAAGAATGAGAAACGAAGGGAGACTGATTTGTCTGGTAAATATATATATATATATGTATATATTTTATTTTTTTTCATTTTAGTGGATTTTAATTTCTATGATTTTCTAGTTACTATTTTTTAATCATTTTTTCAAAGAAGCAAAAAAATTGATTCTGAGATTTATTTGTTGTAAATTTCTTTACATTATTCAAATTTATTATCACTAATTTTGGATTTTTTCATGAACATTTTCATAGAGGTTGAGATGATGAAAGAAAGATTTGCTAAGCTTCTACTAGGAGAGGACATGTCTGGTGGTGGTAAAGGAGTCTGTACTGCACTTGCCATCTCAAATGCCATCACAAATCTCTCTGGTCTGTATTTTCATTGGCTGTATTAGTGTTTTTAATGTGTGGTGCCCATATGGATTTGAGTTCAATCTTGGGTTGTAATTGCAGCGACTGTTTTTGGCGAGCTGTGGAGGTTAGAGCCATTGTCGCCGCAGAAGAAGTCGATGTGGAAAAGGGAAATGGAATGGCTGTTATGTGTGAGTGATTCGATTGTTGAGCTTGTACCTTCGATGCAGCAATTTCCTGGTGGGGGAACATATGAGGTTATGGCAACTAGACCACGCTCGGATTTATATGTGAATCTGCCCGCGCTCAAGAAGCTTGATGCTATGTTGATTAGTATGCTTGACGGGTTTTGTGAAACGGAGTTTTGGTATGTTGATCGGGGGATAGTTGTGGCTGATGGTGGTGATTGTGATGCCTATCCGTCGGGTATTTCTGGCGGGAGGCCTTCTATTAGGCAGGAAGAGAAATGGTGGTTGCCATGTCCAAAAGTGCCACCAAATGGGTTGTCAGATGATGCAAGGAAGAGGTTGCAGCAGTGCAGAGATTGCACCAGTCAGATATTGAAAGCAGCAATGGCTATTAATAGTAGTGTGCTAGTTGAGATGGAAATACCCACTGCTTACATGGAGACCTTGCCCAAGGTAACGTTTTGTGTCTCTTGAAATAACACGTCCTTAGGACTAGTATAATTACCCCCTGCAGCACGTGTCTTGTTTTGCTTCATTCTTTGTCTGCACCATTTTTTACTTGGGAATTTGATTAATTACATTTTGAGGTCCTGTTGTCATATTTGCCTCCTAGCAATAACTTGTATCTTTTTAAACTGAAAGAGTTAATAAATCATGCACCTTGAACTTTTTCTTATTTTAATTTTGCTATTGGGCTTTGGATGCTAAACTCATAATATGCTGTATTTTCTTCTGTGATGCTATCAGAATGGAAAAGCTTGCCTTGGTGATATCATCTACCGCTACATAACCGCTGAGCAGTTCTCACCAGAACGCCTCCTCGATTGCCTTGACCTTTCGACAGAACATCATACTCTGGAAATAGCAAACAGGATCGAGGCAGCGGTGCATGTATGGAAGCAGAAAGATCATAAAAAACATACCCATAACATGAGAATTAAGCACTCATCATGGGGGGGCAAGGTCAAGGGCTTTGTTACGGATTCGCATAAGAACCAGATTTTGGCCCAACGAGCAGAAACTCTCCTACAGAGCTTAAGGCTTCGTTTCCCTGGCCTCCCACAAACAACTTTGGATATGAACAAGATTCAATATAACAAGGTAGTTGCTTCAATTCTTCGTCGGAATCTAGAATTCTAACCTAATACTCCTAATCAGCATCATAAAATAACTTTGCATGCGGTGAATCCCTTTCTAATGAATCCAAAAGTGCTGCAATAACGAATAAATAGTTCAAGAGACAACTATGTTATTGCATTCATCACTCAAATGCATTGTTTAGACCATCCAGACAGGGGCGGGGCTACGTGTAAGAGAACGGGGGCAATCGCCCCCCTTAATTTTATCAAAGAATTCATAATAGTCCCTGATAGTTTAAGGATTTTGAATTACCCCCCTTTTCTAGACATTTTCTCCCCATAGTTTTTGAAGTTTTCCCATTACTCCATAATATATCTACTAAAGAATAATTTACTTAGAATAATTGTACATGAGATTATCATTTTTTATAATACAACTTTGATGTAATAATTTTGTTTAAATCCAATATTACATAATAAAATAATGTTATTTGTGTAATAATACCTATTGAAATGGTATTTTTATTTTTGCCCCTCTTAAATATGAATCCTTGCTCCACCCCTGCATCCAGCAACAGTTCTGCCCATGCTAGACATGCTTTGCGGATTATGAAAGGTTTATTTTCTTGCAGGATGTCGGGCAATCAATTCTCGAAAGCTACTCAAGAGTAATGGAGAGCTTGGCCTTCAACATTATGGCAAGGATAGATGATGTTATTTACGTAGATGATGCAATAAAGCAATGTGCTGTAGCAGAATCGATGTCCCTCTTCAACAGAGGAGGATTAGCAGGTCTTCCCATCCAGAAGAGAATGTCTCCTAGCCCCTTCTCAATCCAACAAAGCCCTTTTGCCTCTCCATTTGCAACGCCTACGTATTGTGCTTCGACTCCAGTGTCTGGAAGTCCAGAGAGGGTGCCATCCTCCCTAAAGAGGGGCAAACCTAAGGAAGCACCTGATCGTAAGTTGGAAAAGCCAGTGTCATCTGACTTTGAGACGGTTTGGACATACCCAGGCAACCTTTAGTTCAAGAAGAGTTTCTGGAGATGCTCCTGAACGAGATTGACTTCGAAGCTCTCACCATCCTGAGTGAGATTAACTGTTATTCTATAAATGCCATCAAGAAAACACATTAATGAGATCTGGATGGATATATAATGGCTGAGGAGCATGTGTAGTTCATATCTCTAGCCTTGTATATTGTTTAGCAATAGATAGATTATGCTCTAAATTTTTGATGTTGTCCCTTTTAAATTAAGCTGCAAGTGAGGGAAAGATCACTTCTATCCATTTCAGGAGAAAATTATGCTCTCTTCTTGAGTAAGCCAATTGGCACACTAGAAAGAGATTGCCTGCATTTTCAGCGTTGACTAATTGGATTTGGGCATGTACAAAATCCAACTCAGTAGAGTTAACTTGCTGAAGATTAATTATAATAATAATAATAACGAAAATAAAAAGAAGGGTAGTCAACAGCACTCGTTTACAGAAAACAAAAACGATTAGTTCTGAATCCAGCGTCATTTGGATCTTTCTACTCAAGGCAATAAATGGAAACTACAGGAGCGCTCCCGCAAACAACCAGCTTCGCACCCTCCACGATCTGATTGCAATGGGTTACCACTCAAATTAATCAGGCAACCTTTTGGTGAGGAGATTTCATCCACTTGCTAGACTGAACAAAAGCTATTGCCTAGCTCTCAACTAACATAAGATAGAAGGCTCAAATGTCTTAAACATTTTGGTATTCACAGAGAACGTGAAAGCTATAACTGAGTAAACTTCTCAAATATCACTGGAAACTTCAGCTCATCGCTTCACCTCTAAACCTCCTCGAGTCATCAAGTAAGTACATTAATGGACAGGTATACAAGCACCAAGCTCTGCCGATATTTTATCAGAGTGGCCATGAAAAGGACAAGTATTATTCACTTCTCTATCAACAGCTCTTCCAGTTGGTTTTGATTCTGCACCTGTTTTATTGACCATATCAGCAAAGAACAAGTCATTATACAGAAAAAGAAAAAACGAAGCGGAATAATGTTTTTAAATAACAAATGAACGTGATATCAGATACAAGGGCAGATGTACTAATGAATGATGATTGCACTAAAGCTAAATAATAGCATCCATCCCACTTAAATTTGACGGTCACATTGCAAGGCATATGTTCGTACAGTCCAGCAGGAAAGATTAGCCACTTGAAATTACAATCAACAATTAATTAACTGATTAGATTAAGAAAACAGTGAGATATGAAAGTCCTGTTACCAACTATCAAAGCAACTGAAAGTCTGTTTTTTGGCAACAATGTTCAAGCATTCACAAAATAGCCAAAAAACTGGAAGGGCACAGGGTAAGGAGGAAGGAAGGATTTCCATGTAAAGTAGAACCTTGAAGTAAAACATTTCCAACAGAATCCAAAGTCAGTTCATAGTGTTGCCTTGATATTATGTAATTTGACAACTCTCTTTGGAAATGCTCAATTACAGAAGTTGATAGGTGACCCCTGCTCTCTCACTCAAAAAGGGCATATAACTGACAGTCTTGCCTTGTCGCCGCTCACATTTAAGGTTGAAAAAGAAAACCAGAAGGATCTGTCCTGAGCCTCTTGACACAATGGGGGGATGTAAGTTGATGATGCAAATGCATAGGAAGGCAGATCGGGGCATAGTTTCCATTATTCCTCACAAATATATTAACTGGTCTAGCCAGAATCTAGCCTTCTAGAGATCATCTCAGAAAAGGCATCACTAAATGCCTCACCTAGAAAGGGTTCCCCTCCCACCCAATGCATCCATACCTATTTCAGCACAACATTGCCAGTTTACTTATCACGGATCAACTATAACCTGTGATTCCAAGGGCCATTTGGATACACAACTATCAAGACATGAAGCTGAAAAACACATCCAAACTGCAAGCCGAATAAGTTGAGAAATCTACAGAGTAAATATCAAAAATCCAGGCAGGATAAACTAGCACAGAAAAATAAAATTGAAATTTCATGAAAACAATTACACCGTGGGAACAAAAAAAAAAAGGTGAACACTTACTTCCAATGAAGTTGAAGCAACCCAATCAGGAGGTGGCCAGAACATCTTGGAGTAATCAGGAAAATTCCTTAAAGGTCCTATACAACCACTCTCCAATTCAAACACACCTATATCACGACCAATCATTGATCCATCATCTCCTTCCTCTCTCGAATAAAAGAAATTATCCTCAAAAAATATACAATTGCCCTTGCAACCAGAAAGCTCAGAAGCCGATGCAGAAAACGTGGAATCATCACCTAGAAACAACACTCGATCTTCCAAATTCTTCACCTCGATCCAACTCTTCCCCGCTTCATTCAACTTAAAAACCTTAAACCGAACCGTCCTCTCACTCATATACTGAACAAGATCCTGCACAACATCGCTGCCAATGCTCAACCCTTCATCAGTATCAATACTCAAATACATATCAACCAGCAACAAATCCCCCTTCGACTCAACCAAATATTTCTTGTCCCCACCAAAAACGGGATCCCCAGCCAAACCCAAATCTGTATCCAACGCAACAACCACAGTCCTGCCGGTATTATCCACGGCATAAAACATCCCTTTAAAAACAATAACATCATCGAAAGGCGATGGCATTTCATTAATAATAGTCCATCTCTTATCACCACTCTTAAACATAGCCAACTTCCCAGAAACATGAATTGTTAACAAAACAAACTCGGTTTCGCAATTTAACCAAATCATTACAACTTTCTCCATATATAAATTACCAGCATCAGTAAAACTCGACGAATTGGGCTTGTAACTAACATGATGCAGAACATATTCATGACCCAATTCACGAATTCTCAAATTCATTAAATCTAAAACACGAGGAAGACTATTAGGCAAAGAAGTTGACCTGCACCGTGATAAAGGATCAAACAAGTGTTTTTTACCAGGCACATCTTCTTCGATTTTGACAAGCCAGCCTTGTGGGTCTGTCTGGCTATGGGAATTCGGCAACCCAACGAGGAATATACTTCGCTTGAACAGAGAAAACCCAAAAGAGGTGTGAGAGATACCGTCATTTGGGAGGATCTTGAAGGTGTTTGATGATAAACGGGGTGATTTCGGAGGGATTGAGGATCGCCATGAATTGCAGACGGAACGGAAACGGAGGAGGTCTGTGGAGGTGTCTAGGCATTTGGAGATGAGTTCTATGAGATCTTTTGGGAGGTGGGTCCACTCTGCCATGGTGGGTTTTCCTCGAGAAAGTGAGGGAAAATTGGATAAAAAGCAACGTGGCTGGGGTGAGAATTTATAGCTGCATGGAGCTTGCCCTGAAACTTGTTGAGATTGAAGGTGGGCTGCGTTTTGCTTACACAAGCCCATTACAATTTTGCCGATGGCATGTATGATTAAATCGTGAATTACTGTTGTGATTTGAATAATTTTTTTTCTCAATAAATTTATTCAATCCTTTTTTTTATTACATGGGAATTTTAGAAGCTACTAGCAAAAGATAAAAAAAAAAGGGTAGAAGTAACAAGTTATATCACATTATACTGAATAAATGTATTATGATCTAAATCCAAGTCTTGAAATCCTTTTCTAATTGGGGGATAAAAGGCCCGAAATTAGAAATGCCAAAATAAGAATTTTCCGAGAGCAAATTCCGACATATATTAATATGTCGAATCGAAACTTTCCCTGTTTGTTGGAAGGAAGTCCGCTCTTCGGTCATTTACTCGCTCTGCTATATAAATAAGAAGCGAAGCAGCTACTGCAGACAGGACTTAGGGGTAGGCAAGAATTATCATGAAAAAGTAGTAAAGTGGTGTTTGTTTTGGCATTTAATCTCAATCTATTATTCTGATATTTTGTCTAGAAATTTATCATTCAAAATTAAAAGAATTTTATATGTTGTAGCATATCATCTACGAACACATTATAAACCAAACTGTCCCCCATTTTTTAGAAAAATATAATTAATAATTTTATAAAAAACAATGAATTTCTATTACTTCAAAATGGTTAAAAAAGTAGTTATTGACAGAAAAATGCTTCTTCTACAAATGTAAGAATACATAGTTGAATGACTCAGAAACAAGAATATTAATTAAGGCTACATTTGTTTCTAAAAATTGGTTTTTAAAAAATTATTTTTAATTTTTTTATATTTATTTATCATTAAAAAAGTTAGTTAATGGAAATATTTTCCACAGAGAAAAATTTAGCTTGATTTTTTAAAAAATATTTTTTAAAAAAATTTGAACGAAAAACACTTTTCCAGTAATTGTTAAAAATTTAAAAATATTATATTATTTACTAATTATATCAAATTTGATCCTCAAACTTTTGATTGCTATACATATTTTGTTTTGAATATTTATTTTTTTATTTTATTTCTTAAAATTTAATTTTTATATTAATTTTGATCCTTATTTTTGTAATTGTTATTTGTTTTTTTTATCATTTTTTATTAAAAAAGTTTATCTATCAAATTTGATACTCATTTTTCTGATTATTAATTATTTTATTTGAAATAATTTATGAAATGTTAACTATTAATATTTTAATTTCTTCATCTTTTAATTTTTTAGATTTGATGTTTTTTTTTTATATTATTATTATTATTTTATTTGAGATAATTTATAAATTATATATATATATATATATTTAATTTTATTCTTATTTAACCTTGTAATTTATAAGATTTGTTTCTAATTATTTTAATAAAATTAAAAAAACAAAACTTTAATAAGTTAGTTTTCAATTTATTTTATATAACATAACCAAATATTAAAAAATATTTTTTAATTTATTTTTTCATTACATTACTAAATATTAAAAAATAATTTATTTTTTAAAAATTTACTTTCCAAAATAAAATATTTTTTTATAAATAAATAATATTTAAATATATAACCAAATAAACAATTCAAATATATATTAAACAGGGGCCGCGGCTGACGCAGGCCTCCTTTATCACAAATTTTGACTTGCACTCTCCGACTTACAGAGATGTTAGACAGGTGCACCCACTATGTGCAAATGCAAGCCACAAGTCCAGGCCTGAGCCTTTTCGATCGCCCAAAGATCTCGTCCAAGTAAGCATGTTGTTCAGTCGCCGTCCATACGCTTTTCGTTGTATTTATTACTTTCTCCTGTTCTTTATACATGTGTAAAGTGCTAAAGATAAATAAATCAATAGTATGTATGTTTTTTTTTTGGTTTTTGAAGGAAATGAAGAGGAAAGCAAACCCTTAAGTCGGGGGTGTCTGACACCATTTATATTTTTGTTCCTATACGTCTTTTTTTAAAATATTTTTAGATTGAAAAAACATTAAATTAATATTTTATAGTATTTTTTTTATAGTTTGTTCGTTGTTTTTTTTTTTATAAAATTTCAAACAAAAAATTATTTTGAAAAGTACACTATACCATAATCTAAAACTCTTTAAATTTTTAAAACAATGTATTATCTTATATCGAGATACTTGGACTAAAAATACATAGTTTTATTTTTAAAAAACCGTCATGTTGAATAGCTTTTCTTGCTACAACGTTGAACTCTCTAAAATAAGTTGCAATTAATAGTATGTAATTATTTGACGATGTTTTAGTGAATACAATTTGAATTTTTATGTCGCAGGAGAATATGATTGACATGTAAAGTTCAGTTTTTTGGAAGAGCAAGTTGTTGTTTCAATGTGCTCCGATGCATTAAATTTTGGGTGGCATACCACATTTCAAGGCATCAGTATTCGTTCGTGATAATCGAAAAGGTCTTTAGTATAAAAACAACCTATATAGCATGACTTCATCAATTGAGACCCCCGTCGTCGGCTTCTAAATAATTATTCAGGACAAACTCATTACGCGTAAATAAAATTTCTACATATATTAGACAGGGGCCGCGGCTAGCGCAGGCCCCCTCTACCACAAATTTTGACGTACACTCTCCCACTTGGGGAGATGTTAGACTGATGCACCAGCTGAGTGCAATGCAGGCCACCAGCCTAGGCCTGAGCCTTATTGATCGCCCAAAGACCCCGTCCAGGTAAGTATGTTGTTCAGTGGCCCGTCCAATCTATTTTATCCGCCATGTGTCCTGTCTTTATTGCTCTCTTCCCGATGTGGGATACCAACAACAAACAGTATATTACTCTTTATATGTGCTAGGGGGCACAGATAAATAAATTAATAGTACGTAATTTTTTTTTCGTTTTCAAAGGAATTGAAGAGGTAAGCAGACAGAACACATGTTTTTAATTTTATATATTTTTAAATAAAAAAAATATTTTGGAAAATACTTTTACCACAATCCAACCAAAACTTTCTGTATCCTAAAAAACTCAGCTGAATCAACCTAATGATCAGTCGATTTAGAATTTGCTTGAGGCTAGATCGGTGCAAACATATCTATAGGTACAGTTTCCTTGGCACTTGCTTAGTTACTGCAGAAGTGCGAGAAGGGATTGAAGAATACCATGCTCCGTAAAGCATCTTTAATTCGGTTAAAAAAGAAGAAGTGGGAAGCATTTTAATAGATTGTAGCCTGGGACTTAGTTACACCAAGATCGGAGGGTGGTTTAGGCTTGAAAGTTTTTTTTGAAGGAATGGAACTCAGTCTGTGTTGACAATGGTTCTTTAAGGGTTGCTGGAGGGTAGAGTTGCCGGAGAGCTCAGAATTCCCAATTTGGAATGGGAAGAAAGTTCTAAAACCGGGGTGTGATTTAGGATTACATTTGTGGAGCGCAGGTAGGGGAGAGGAAAAAAACATTTGTTTACGGTGGAATCATTGGCACTCTTTGGGACCCTTGGCTAAAGAGACCTGGAAGGAGGATCACCGATGACTCTGGCTTGAACGATACTACAAAAGTTCAGGTCTTTGCACAGATTGAGATGGCCAAGCCAAGATCAGATGACATGATGAGCATTCAAATCGCTATTTGCAGTAGTAAGGATTCTGTAATATGGAATCCATCCAACCAGCCATCCTTGCTATCTTATGCATCAGAATCATTAGTTACATGGTAGCATTCCAATCTCACTGTGCATTGTCAAATACCTTGAGCTTTTGAAGGATGCCAGTTCAAGCCATCATATTAGAGACATCACGCCACGTTATAACAACGAAAGCCACCACCACTTCCAGAACTGAAAACTGACTCCATGTATCTTACACAGTTGGCTCTTTATAAAACTTATGCTCATCTCAAAAGATTCCATGCTTAGGTCTGGAGAACCAGAAGAAAAAACACTTCGGCACTTCGCTAGTACATGATACAGGATAATAGTTCCTTGAGGACCCAGAGAGTTGATATCCCACATCGGGAAGAGAACACTGAAGGCGGGACGGAAGTCATGTAAATTACAATGGGTGGGCCCCAGTATTTTCGCAGGCTGCGTTTCAGGCAATCAAGGCCCAGGCCTAGTCTGGTAGCCCGCATTGCACTCGGTAGCTGCGCCCAAAGTGAGAGAGTGTCTGTCAAAATTTGTGGTTTATATATATATATATATATCATTTTGTTTTAATTAAACACGTCATCAGTCCGATGCTTATATGTATGTGTTCTCTTTTGAGTTGAATGATAAAGAAGCTTGAACAAATCCACTTAGGCAGTGCTTCTTCCTTTTCTTTTCTTTTTTCGCCGTTGGTATGTGTTTTTAAAAAGATTTAAAAAAAATTTAGTTTTAAATTACTTTTATAAATTTTTAGATTATTTTTAATATCTTGATATAAAAAATTATAATCAAATATATTATTTTGATATATTTATATGTGAAAAATAATATCTATTATCATCTTAAATTTAGTTTTAAGCAAGCCAATTCTAATAAAGCCCTTCGTATGTTATTGTGTTTTTTATAATATTCAATAAAATGGATTTTAAATATGAGATTTTATTAAATTTCTTTACAAGTATATTGTTTCTTCTCATGACATGTCAATAAATCGGATTGAATCTAAGAAAAAAAACTCAAATGATTAAATTAACAAGAGCTCACAGTGATATTTTTAAGATCTGACAGAGCCTGTAAACAATCATTTAACCTGTTAAATTGAAGTCCAGTCGAAAAACAAGATCTGAAGCAAGTGCAATAACATAATTTTTCAATATCCCTTGCTATTCACTCCTTCGGAGAATAAACACAATATATGGCAAGAGATAGACATGAAGCAATGTTCTAAGCTATCCTTCCTGTCTCTTTTGTTTATGTAAAGACTATTTTTCTTGAGAGAATGTAGAGGATAAAGTTTGGGCTTTTCCTTTGTGTTTTTTTTTCGAGGAAGAGAAGCATATGATCATAAAGGG